ATAAAAGTATTTGTTAGTTGAACAAATAGAGATCTTACAGCTGTCAATGTCAGTAATATAATAGTCAAACTATGGCTTTACTTTGCTAATGAAACAAGAACATGTAGCAGAGGCAGAAGGTACCAGTAGTTTTTCAGTATAATGTATCTTTACAGGTTTATTCAGGCACACAGAAGAGATGGATGCACTGTGATCCCTGTGAAAATGTATTTGACACCCCTCTTATGTATGAAATTGGCTGGGGCAAAAAGCTGTCATATGTGATGGCATACTCACGAGATGAGGTTCAGGATGTTACATGGCGATACTCATGTAGACATAATGAATTGTTGAGTCGCAGGAATGAATGCACTGAAAAGGAACTGCTCGATGCTATCATACAGCTTAGACAAGAAAGACAGCAAGACATGTCCACTTCCAGAAAACTCTACCTCAATAAACGGCTCTTAGCAGAACTTGTTGAATTTATGACGCCTCGTCAACCTACTGAAGGAGAAAGGAAGGTATCAATTCTGGCCATTAGTTGTATTGATGTATGTTTTCAGAGACACTCATTACAGTGGGATCAAGTGGTTAAAATTTTAACAATAAATAACATTACATTAGTACACATTATACAAAGCTGATCTGCATATCAAGGATAAATTTAAGTGCCATAGGTAGATTAGTATCATGGTATTTGAATCTTCAACGTTTTTGTAATGTTTAAATTTGTATTTGTAAACGTTACTTTGGCACAGTGATTAGAAATATGTTTTATGATTTCAGGTTCATGGATGATTATTCCAATCTGTAGTAGATTTTTGTAATTTTGTATTTGCAAGTCTGCACTCTGTCCATCATTACAACTAAGATCTATTTTAATATTATTATTCCATATATATATGTAGGACATACCCCAGTTAATATGATAAATGTGTGTTTGTATTTAGGGACGCAGCTCAGGATCCTTGGCATGGAGGCTGGCCCGAGGAGAAACAGATGTGGCACCAAAATGTATAAATCCCTTTGTGTGGAAGCCAACACAGTCAGAGCTTAAAGCAGGCCAGATGCATATCCAGTATTCAACATCAAGAAACAAATATGTGAGAAGTGTCGGGATGGAGGAATTAGAAGGCTGGGAAAATGGAACTTTTCATGTGAAATATGTCTTCAGGAAGGAAGAGAAAGATTGGAAAATGACTTACTTATCAAGAACTAGTAAGACCAGTTAATTTTATTTCTGTTACTTTAGATTGTTGATTAAAATTTATCAATCCTGATGAACATGCATATAATAGCAGTGGAAAAAAAGAGAGAAAAGAATAAAGTGAATAAAAATGTAAACTCAAATTCATGCATGGTACTAGTATAAACAAAAATGTTGATGCTACATGTTCATTTATTGTTTCAGAGGACAGTGACGAGGGTATAGTAACATGGAAATTTGATTTGACAGATAGTGGTGTAGTTGTAGACAGTGTGCGTATCCAGTGTTCTACTTGGTTGCGTGACACAGGTCGAGTACTACTGAAAATGTGCGCATTGGAAATGTGTACTCTTGTTCCAGGAGGTATGATTGTAATAAACTGTCCTATATTCAGTAATCTTACTGATCGTACTAATTCTGTGATAATTGAACCCAATTTGAACAGGAAAACCTACCTTCCTATCTTGAGCCACTTGAAATATTCATAATTTATTGAAGATCTATCCTTTTATTTGTCCAGCACTTAAAGCAGCTTCATACAAAGAGGGGTTTTACCCATATTCTGAGTGAAACATGTGGTTGATCAGTTAGCACTTCTACTTTGAAGTAAAGAGGCCTTTCATGTGTTTCTTGGTCTGGAAGTCTTGATTCAAAGTTTCCCTCATTCCCACCAGAAGATAAGATTGTCTCATATCACAGGTCACAAGTGATTCTTTTACAGTTTTCTTAATTCATCATTGCCATTCACATTTTTTTGTGATTGTTTATTTTCAGACACTTGTATTTTACAAGTTCTAACTTGAGAAAAGAGCGGGTCCCACTCCATTACTGTTTCATGTTGTATATTCCAGTGGTCTTGCATTCATGTTAAAATTGTTTGTTTCTTTGTATTTTACAGACAGCAAGGTGTTTGAAACAACTGATTTCCAAGGTTGCTCTCAGCTGGAGTTCACTGCACAGCTGAGAGGTGGAACAGGTGAATGTGCATGGCAGCATGCACAGCTGTTCCGCCAAAATATTAATGACAAGGATTATCCACTAGACGTCATAATCAGACTTAAAAAACAGCCATGATTTTTTGGTGTGACCAGACTGCTATAAAGGTCACGGTATTAAAATGTTCAATAAGCATAATTATTATGTTGCTTCACAGTATAGAATCAGAAAAATGAAAATTTAGCCTTATAAGTAAGATTGAATCAGAATAGTGAATGCAGTTCCCACTACGTCGAGGATAAGTATGTTATCAAATACAGGAAATTACTGCGTCCTTCAACATAAAAGATTTTATTGTACAATAAATGTTATTTTGAAAAAAGCATAAAAATTATGTATGAGACATGTCTACCCAGCATCCATTCCAGCATATACTGGGAGCTGTCTTTCTGGGACTTCGGAGCCTGAATATTTTCATTTACCTCTATAGAATGCTGAAGGTCTATAATGTGTAGAGCTTCATATAGTGATGCTTGGTTAAGGGATAACCATTCCTCACTAAAATATTCTATTAAATACTTAAAGACTACTGAAGATATTGTTTATCAATGAAAATTTCACCAGTTTCCACAGACTCAGAAAGAAACAGCTTTGTCATATTGGAGAATTTATGTTTGGAAGAATCACATAATGTAAAATTATTTTCCTGAAATCTTGTACAATCAATGTACAGAATCAAGCAAAGACAAAGTGAAAGTGGTATTGAGAAAATGAAAAATAAAATGAGATATATCACGTCTGTAATAGAAACTCAGTTTAATTTAAAAATACATAGCTGTAAACATTCCCATCTTGTTCGAACATGTATGTCAATCAGTGGAATGTTCTTTGTATGCAAATTATTTATTTGTATTTCATATGTAAACTATCTCAAACATAACATCAATAAACATATTGGACATTAGAAGAACACTATTTTACATACATTCTTAACTAATGCTGTTATATACCATTTACACACATAATGGACTCTGTTCAATTTTCAGGCCCAGTATTTAAGTGCCTAGCCTGTATCTAATAAAAATGCAAAATGAAGTGGTTTGACTTATAATTAAAACAGACCCACATTCTTTTCTGTATATATGGATGCTCAAAAATTAAGAAAATATTAATTTCTAGGTTGGGTATAAAAATCACATCTTGTTTTTATTTCAAGTGAGGAAGTTTTACTTAATTGTCATCTAAATTTTAAGACTTTTACTACATGTGTGTGTAGTGTTTGTTAGAAATAATTAGACATGAAAATGTATGTAATTTTCAGTCATCTAGAATAATTAAATACATTATAGCCATTATGAAGTCAGGCTATTCTAGGTGACCCATTTAGCCTCTGAAGGTAACTATAAACTGATAAACAGAACATGGATGCATCAAAATAAATAACCTATATAAAATATGCATAAAAATAATAAGGTTTTGAGTATGATTTTCTGGGTTGTAATACCTACCACTTACAAGATTACACAGCATCACAACTCAGAAAATCAGAATCCAAATGTTTACTACCATGAAAAATGCAATAAACAAATTACTAACAATGGTTAGATGTAAACTGGTTAGTCAATAGAATGAGCTGAAAAGAAGTACCTATATTGAACCTGTTAACACTTTGACACCAAAGTTTGTCTAAATAATATTTAAAAATTCAGTTCTTACTGCAAAGAAAAAACTGTCTCCATTACAAAGATCAGCTGGTTAATGATGTTCAAAGAAATGATAACTGTTTATAGTGAGTCATACAAAACCCATAAATATACTGGGTGGGAAAATTACAGGGCTACCAATACATCAAGCAAGTGGCACATATTACCACTGTGCTTCAAAGAGGTAAGTAAAACATTACATAATTATGTTGCCTTTGAATTTAAAATGTTACCTTTGAAAGTTAATATAAAAGAAGAAATTATGTACTAAATTCCCTGTTTTCATGAGCATAATTTTAACTGGTTTCATAGTTCTGAGTTTTATACTTGAATTTCATTTGGAAGATTAAATAATATAATATATATTTATATTATTCATTGATTCTGCAAACTGTAGTCAATATGTGCAATAAATGAATGTCAAGACAAATGAAGGTGTAAAATGTTGAAAGAAAATATGTGTACTGCATCAAATTTCTTTTATATTTAACACGTTGAGTTTCAGAAAGCTCAAATAGGTACCTGAACACCATAGCCTGTGTCATGAATGATAACTTCTCAAGTCAAAAATAACTCATGTTGCAGTTTGTGGTCTTACGGGTTGTCAAGAGAGGAACAACCCCCTCTTTGATTTTCATCCAAAATGCTGGTAAGATTAGATGGCATCAGAAGCCAGAAGACCACAATCCATGTTTTCACTGTCGTAAAAACGTCATAACTGGGAATTTTTTTTCACATCTGATAATTTACTTTTTAACATAAAGCATCAACATAATTTTTTTCTCTGTGGTTAATTTGTAATTACAGTTTTCATTAAAAATATATCCACTGTTTATAGCATGTAACTTTGCATTTCCTCTACCTCAAGACAAACTGCTTTTGTATTTGCCCACTTTGTTAAGACTACTAAGAATTTCATTTTTATTTATTCAAATGGACTTGGAGAAGAAGTATGCATTACATTTGTGAAAATACTGTAGTAAAATGCTGCTTATGTAGCTACATAAAATAGACTATATAAGTTGGTAATTATTCTTTTTTTCTTTACAACTTTATAACACTTCTTTCAATATACAGACATTTACAAAAATACATATATTTATTCATTTATTTATATGTAGGAATCCTATTGGCAGAGCTGTATGTAACCTATTTAGACGACAGAAAAATAGAAGTTTCTGACATAAAAACAGCATCATACACCTGAAAATACCATGTAATTTAAGAAAAACTCACAATTTATTACATTAACAGAGTCCACTATTTGAGTGCTGACATCACATACCAAGAAGTACTAGCACATAAATTGTAAATAGTAATATATATGCTGTTTTAAATGTTTATGCCAGGCAAATAATATGATTGCTAATTGACATAAGTAAATTTGTAGAAAATGGTTAGTAAGCATACAAATTGGCACCTTATAGTTAAATTCTGGTTGAATAGCTGAATGTAAGTATGAAAATATTTAACAGGGGTGCCTAGTCCATAATACATGATATCACTTACGTGACATGGTCTGAAAACAGGTGCAATACAGGATACAATTTCAGGCACTCCTGAGACTAGAACACACCTAATGCTCCTCTCCATAACACTGTAATTTACTTCTCAAGAATTTTCGAGACCAGGAAAGCATGTGCAGTAGACCTATCCAAATATAGTGTCACTTCATTCTTAGCAAGACATGAATTAGGAATGAACAGCTTCAGTTTGCAGGTTACAGTAGCTTGCTGTGCATACAGAATCACATTATTATCACCATCTTCATTGCTATCATTATTATTCTTATTATCATCATAATTCATCATATTAGTGCTTCCTTTTTAAAAATAAAATAAAAAGCATCCTTTTTGAGGTTTTCTGATAATAAATTAATGAAAATTAGGAGCTAAAGTTTGCAATAAAATTCTCATCCTTTCTGAATTACCATTATTCTCACATACTAGTATTTAATTATTTTTGTTTTGCTATTATTAACTAACCAAAATTTCAACACAACTAACGCCAAATCTCACCATTAGACATGATCCTGAACCACTTCCATCCATCCCCAATCCTCACAATGTAGTTTCCAAAGATACATCTAAATATATGATCCAAAACTTTTTTTAGTGACTAACAATGATAAAACCTTCTAGGACTATTAGTTGTGCCAATTGGTTACAGATCACAAACATTTCAGGGACCATCTGTCCCCATCATCAAGGTTACAATGTCATAACCCTGATTATGGGGACAGATGGTCCCTGAAACACTGGTGATCTCGAACCTACTGACATGGCTGACAGCCTGAGAAAATTTTATTAATACATTTTAATGTTAACTTCCCACCTTCTTTTCTTCCAAGTGACCATTTCCCAAGAAGCATTCCCACAAAAATGTTGTATTAATTCCTTGTATTCATTAGCCTAGCTACATGCCCAGCCTACCATAATTATCATCATAATGTTCTGTGAACCTCCACTCTGCCTCTCCTCCCATACTTTAGATGTATACTTGATATTCTGACATAGCTATAGAGCATTAAACGATGTGTGTATGATTAGTCTACAGCACCTGAGCAAACATGTCGGATGGCTGTTCATTGTCAACTCTTGAGAAATAAAGCACATTGTAATTACAGTCCCCTTTCCATAACAGTGTTTCTCTTTTGTTACTATACCAGAAACACTAATTAAATCTGGGATGACAAATATGATATATGATACATAATATAGCAAGAAAGTTTTTGCTATATTTAAATACATCCTAAAATTGTGCAAATACAAACTTTTTGTTAGTTTTTTAAATAATTCAAACAGTGCACAAGATTGGCTGGCTGTCACATTTTGTTAAGTGATTGTACTAAAGAATTCTGATACAACAAGATCACAGTTATAATGAGCGATATTTGGTGCAGTATCAAAACCTAGTTTCCATGTGTAAACACCCACTTTCAGTATCTTGTAAATCATTCAACCGATATAAGAAAGAAACATCCACTTCTATACATATGTATGGTAATTATCTAATATAAATCACACTGATGTTGCAATTAAATGTTGACCAAAACCACTTGCGAGTAGTTCTGCTTAAGATGAAAAGAAACTGTACATTTTCCATTTCTTTGTACTGATAAAACTATGATTATGTTTCTTAATGAAAGATCACCAAATTTAAATGAACACACAGATAATTCTTACATTTATTGTTGAAAAGAACTGCTTTCCTTTGAAATTACTGCAGACACAGAAAACTACACATCTTGAAATTTTAAATGAACAGAATGTACAATGTGGTCAAATTTGAAACGATGCTACACACATTTTATACGAAATTTGAGAAACCTTTCCCTTTATAAATTCCTATTCTTATTACCTTAATTCTTCTATGAAAAAAACAAAACAAAACAAAACAATGGTTTCAAAAAATAGGACAAGAAAATATGAATTTTCCTTCTCTTTGTAATAGAATTTGGCTGTACCAATAAAATTATAGGTCTGTGACACAATGTAACACTTTGAAATTTAAAAGAAGGTTCAAATAATTATGCCCGTCCCTCTGAAATCATAGTAGATAAGAAATACAGATCCGTGGCGTAACAGAGAGCCAAAGCCGACTAGCTGGCTGCTGGCCTCACATTCATATGCCTAAGCAGAGGTGAACGATCATCCAACCAGATATAGGGAGACGTGTGGTCAGCACGATGAATCCCCAGCCATTGCTAGTTTTCATGACCGGATTACGCTACCCATTGTAGCTCCCCAATTTCATCACGATGCTCGGTTGGCACCGGTCCCATACACCGGTCAAAAATCTCATGAGAAATTTCTTTCCCCGAGACTCGAACCAGTGGGCATTCTGTATCACCAGTCCGAAGCATGATGCCTCAGACCGCGCGGCTATAGCACGGGACAAGAAATACAGATACAACTCGAAAATTAAAATGAACACAATGCACAATGCAAACACATCCAACATACACATTTTAATGTACCAACAGACAAAAATGGAGAGTAAACAAGGCAACCACATTTGCTGTATCTCGGCCACAATACTGGCCTCATATTTGGGGGATTTGTGAATGGAATCCTAAATTCAGTATATCAGCTGAATTCCTTGTTGCAATAACATCATATGAAAGCTGGTAGTGTGTTTAAAAATAGGCCTTGATCACTTCCTCCTCTACTATAACTAATGTGACATTTATCACTACAATATCACCATTAGTGTAATGAGCAGCAAATGCAACAATAAATCTAACAACAATCATGATTTAATAGATTGTTTGCTTGCTTTTCCACAGATAAGCCCTTATTTTGTGTCAACAATAACCTTTAAGCCACTGTGCATTCATATATTTAGCTACCACAATGGTTTTATTCTAAAGGTTCATGAAATTAGAACCATCAGAAATCCGACCACTTTTCAACAACCCAAGTCGGGTAAATTTTGCGCTGAGTAATAAACAGCTGGAGCTTTTTTTTATATAAAAATCATTTTGCAATCAACACACAATATAAAACGATGTGCTTGAGCATTTGTAAAATCTGACATATTTGACTCATGTGTTACCTCAACTGTTCAACCCAAATCTTGAATTTCCTGGCAGAGTTGTGTAAAAGTCGGCCGAGCATGGGTATCTGCCTGCCAACAGGGGCTCATAAGTCTTACATATATAGTCTGTGAACACTGGGGTGGACATGGAAGGCGAGTGCCACTCTCCAGTGCTGCCAGTAGCTGTTGCTGGTCCTGGTCATTGATACAGTCTGGTAAACGTGGGTCTTCCCCAAGAGAAAACATCTCATACAATGTCACACCATATGACCATACATCAGAACGTGGTGAAAACTTCCCATCCCGTAGACTTTCTGGTGCATACCTACACAAAATTAATAGGTTGAATGATTATAAATTACTGTTTTATAACACATGTGATACAAATACTGTCAATGTATTGCTGCATGCCAACAGAAACAGTTCAGGCTAGTAAGGATCAAGAAAGAACTTTATAACAACCCTTGAAGTAATTATGGCTATGACCGACTTTAGTGAGATCTGAGGTCTCACAGTGGTAATGACACTGTTGTTCTTCTTGATTGTGATGCCATGTAGACTCCTACCAAAGTTTTGGAAAAACATACTGTCCCAATCTTCAGCCCTGAAGAGAGTACATGACATTAACACCAAGAACAACATTGCTAACTTAAGACACTGATTCTCGGTTGTGAAAAGTGATATTTTACTTTGAAGGAAGAGCATAAACTGCAGGTGTTTGAAGGATAAAAAAAATGCTCCAGAAAATATCTGAACTCAAAGAGAGTTGGAGTAAGTGAGCAAGTAGTAAATAGGTTAAATATACAAAATTCGTTTAGGTGTGAAGCTGATTTAATTATTTTAAAGGTTCTCAGGATACAGTTCAAGGTGGGAAAAGTATGTGCAGTTGTTCTCACCACTTGATCGGCAATTCTCTGCTAGTCTTCAGGATATAATAGTGATTCTTTCCCATGACCTGAGATAAACCAAAATCAGAAATCTTTACATGATGCTCATTGGCCACCAAAATGTTTCTGGCAGCTAGGTCACGATGCACAACGTTCTTAATTCCTAGGTATTCCATGCCCTGCAACAAATTGTCTAAAATATACCAATGACTTTTTCCCAGGAACTTTAAGGCTCTCAAAAGGCCTTTCAAGAGCAACCATACTTGAGATATGGCCACTGTCTTAGAACATTTTTGAAGGTAGTGTACCTACCACACAGGCCTATGGCATACCTTGGCAACATCAAGTGCAAATTTGAGCAAGGTCTCTTCCTCAAGTGTATCCTTGTGAATCTTGAGGTAACTCTGCAGACAGCCATGCTGCACAAACTCCATAACAAGGCTGATCTCTGGATCATGGATCACACCTTTTATCTCAACAATATTTGGATGTTTCAAAGTCTGGATAAAACCACAAGAAGTTGTAAATCTTATCACAGTGCATTTACCACATATGTTACTTCAAACATACAAAAATTTTAGTTGAAAAACTGAATTGGAAGAAATAACTTGTGAGGAGAAGATAAAGACAAACAGTATGTTCAAACACATGGTATTAAATGACCAAGAACAGCAAAAATACAGTGTTTTCACGAATAACTTACCTTCATGATAGTTATTTCCCTCTCAAAGTCCTGTAGGATGCTCTCCACAGCATTTGTCTTCAGCTTCTTTATAGCAACAAGCTGTGGTTCAGTATCCTTGTCTTGTTCCAGTGTACCCTTGTACACTTCACCATAGAAACCCTACAATAAACACAAAGAACAGCAACCAAGGAACCATTAACTAAATTAGGTTAACCTTTTGCCACAACATTCAAATACTACATTCTGATGGTAACAAACTCTTGTTATACCACATTATTAGTACATTACATGTAGCAGGGAAGATCTAGTTTTAAGCTGTTCTACCATGTTAGATGCAGCAGAGTGTTCAAAGGGTATGATGAGAAGAGAGAAAATACCATAGAAGGATTTGACTGATCCTTGTTTTAGTTAATAATGTATTTTCAACAGCATGGTATTTTAATGTCAAATGGTAGGACAAATTTAAATAATGACCTGCAAATGTTGCAGCCTATTTGAATGAACTAAATCTGCATTTTGCTGAAGAAACCAAAGATAATTCCTAGTCTCTGGGCCAAGGTTCAAACCTGGGACTCCCAAATTTGAATCATGACATTGAGTATGGAAGGATTTAGTAGGGAAGTTATAAAAGTATAAAGGAGACTGAGACACTTCTACAATGAACTAATGCAATCATGGGACAATTCTTATTGGTATTTACCTGACCAATACGACCTTGCAGGATCACATTGCAGTCTCCATCGAGCTCAAATATTCCTTGCATTGAGATCACACTATCTACAGTAAGAGCTGAAGAGAAGGTGATGTTGGACAATACGTCAGAGAAATCAGGGGACATCGCATCATCTGCATGACTCTGAGCCTAAGAAAATAGTTTGTGTACATTAGCACAGAATGTACGTGCATCTACTTCTTGGTCCTTATTAGCAATATAATACAATACAAAGTACATACAAGATTGCACAAGCAGAAAATGTAATCACCTGTCCTGCCTCATATTAAACGTCTTATTGTCAAACCCAGTTTTAGAGCTTACATAAAAATGCTCGCAAAAAGAAACAAGTGTGAAAGCATGGTTAAGCATAAAGTGCTGGAAAAACAAGCATTCTCCATGGTTTTTCATATCTTCATGTACATATACTGAAATGCAACAGAAAATCAGTCTTTGGCAGATTGAGTTCTAGCAGGATCAACATCAGACCAATGGCAGGACATCACAATCCAGAAGACAAAATGGATGGTCAATTCACTTTCACATTTATTTTTTTAACTTCATCCATCATGTGGACCTCCTTTCAACCCCAAATTCTGACTGTCGGTGCAGTAACTGGATGCTGTCCTACCTGAAATTCCAGATCCATACTAATATCCACTAATGTTTTTTCTTTGTGCTCTCTTAATCCTTCACGGCACATTCAATAACAAGATGTCTGCTATTCACACTCCATGGGCAAAGAAGAAAAACTTACATTTGACTCACTGAGCAACCAGACTCTTTCCAAACTGCTGCCAACACTGAACCCTGATGAACTGTCAACACCGTGCGGTGGTTCTTCATCCACAGGGAGCAATTCTGATTTCATGTTGTCAACATATGTATCTTCTACAAAGAAACAATACTTTTTTGCTTTTGAACATTACACTGAATGGAAAATTCTTACCAGTGGTCTGTAAACATTTCCTGTGATGACAGGTTGTACATACATTTTGGCAAAATATTACAATGCTCTGATGACATCCCTGTTCTGAACACACTTAAGGCAGGAACAAGAACATTATGGGCCATGCCATGCTTATTACTGACCAGAACTTGTAATATATTTTGATGAATGTTGTACTGCCTCAGATTTTTATATTTCTATCTGTGTATTTTATTACACTGAATAGTTTGTCTACAGGTCTAGGTGAATTCAATGAAGCTAAATTCAGTTACTTTGCATTGCCAGCAAATGGCACATTACTTAGCAAAAGAAACAACAAATCTTGCATATTTACAAAATTACAGTATAAAATGATGCTAAGTCACAAAGCTTCAGGAATATCACATGAAATAACATTGACAAAGAACACCTGGACTAGATCACTGAATTATTACTTTTTAAATAAATGTATGGTATGTCTTTAAGAACATGGCCCAACCACCACATACCTGGGATTCAATGTGCTAAATTTAACATGGTTATTTGTCTTACCTGTGGCTCCTGAGAACAAACTGGCATTTGACTCAGTTATACTGTTCTCTGCAGAGTATTCAAAACCTCTGAGCACTCTGGAGAAAGCTGTGGCATATGAATGTATTCGCCTGGAGTTGAAAACTGAAACACAATAGTAACAGCCTTTTTGTAAAACATTACTTCATATTTCATTTTCATACTGTGGTATGATCATTATGCCACTTCTGCAATAACAAAAGGGCATAGATAAATGATTTGTTGGAAAAAAAGTCTTACATACTGATATGTCTAAGCCAGCAGATGTTCAAACTGAGCAGATCTCACAACACTTACGAGCTTAGAAACTCTGGGTACCAGCTAGGGAGCTCTGAGAACTGAAGGTGATCTTTGGCCTGTCCAGGCTTCTATCAAATTATCTCTGGCCACTACCTCTGTCTAGCGCTGAGGTTAAGAATGCATGGAGATAATCTTCCACTTGCTCTATACATCCTAAAGCACAGGGACTTCGCCTTTATAATTTTACAATAACTTTAAAGATGAGAGGTAATTATATGCACCACCTGGTTTAGCAGTCAGTAACTCTGCACTTCTTCTATAGAGTTTACTTATGGGTTTTGTATGATTCTCAGAATAAAAGTGATAATTTTCAAAAACAGCATTAACCAACTGATCTTTGTAATGGAGATGCAGTGTGATTTCTTTGATGTAGGAAGTGCATTTTAAATATTATTAAGATGAGCTCCAGCTTCAAATGGTTAGCATGCATAATTTCCTTTAAATGTCTCCATATATATAAAGCCGGGCCTACCACACTTATAAATTTAAAAAAAATCATAAGTCAGTAAACCATTTTTGCACAATATTTCAGTGAACAGTCTTCTACTTGATGATTTACGTTCTTGCCAAATATTTTTGCTGCACAGGGATTGGATGCTTTGAAGACTAGTCCAAGGTTCAACCTGCTCCTGTATCTTTTTTTCTTTCTGGAAACATATATATGGATCTTGTTTCTTTCTATTTTGTATATAGATATCTTTAATGTAACTGATTATTTTTTAGGTTATCAAACATGAAGTTTGCAGTCTGATTCTTATTTCTTTATTTGATGGCCAGACTTGGATTCAGTAGAATTCAAATTCTGGCTGAAGTGTAATAATTTTCCTTAGAGACTACTTTAAAGTAGGCCTCCTATGCATTTCAGTCTCCATCAGTATTAATAATCTTCTTGTCATGTTCATGTTTTGGAAGTGAGGCATGAGGGGGGGGGGGGGGATACAAATAAAAAAAACACAAAGTAAATATGATATTTTATTAGATTGCTGCTGGAAGTAACTTAAGAAACAAGGTTACATAGTAAGGGAATAACAAACAGACTGCAAAATAAAACATTTTAAAATTATCATTCAAGATGGAGATAGTATTTAGGCAGAATAAAAGAAGACAGTATCCCTAAAAGATTTACAAATAAGTTGCCAGTGGAAAATGAGATACAGGAAGAACCAGATGCAGATACAAAATTCAGCTGAACTTACGACCCTTGGAACATGCGTCAAGCACCCAATCCCCATAAAGAAATAAGAAAAATAAGATTAATAATATGACACATTGACAATTATGTGCTGATGACAATACCTTGGTACAAGATCTGGTTCACATCACGCATGATGGCCTGGGGTTTCTTCCTCCTGTAAGGGTCCAGATCCCAGCACTCCTTCATGAGAGTGTAGATATCAACTGGGCAGCTGCTCGGGAGTGGCAGCTTCCTATTGCTCTGGTAATACTACAACACAACAGTGCATAACAGCATCTGCATCTGTATAAACGTAACTCAAAGGATAACCATGAGCATACGTAATAAATCATTTCACGACGTTTCAGAAAGTTAATACCTGAGAACAACTAAAACAAACAAAAATTATGTACTGTACCTTTTTTACTGATTTCATATCACTAGTTTTTGGTGGACATTCTCCGTACATAAATATTTCCCATAAAGTGGTACCAAATGCCCAAACATCTGCTGCCACAGAATGACGAGCATATTCAAAATTAGAGTAACACTCTGATGGAATCCAGTGGATACTGCAAAATCATTCAAAATAATATTATAAACCTGTTGTTAATACCAAAATACAAACTACAAAATGGCAATTATACAAAGATGATAGTGGTCATGGTGATTATGATAAAGAATCAGAAATATTATTTATTTTTGGAGTCCCTTAACAGTTCTTTTAAACTTTTTCTACTGAAACATAAGAAAAATTGTATATGACACGCTGTTAAATCCTGCTCTTCACTGACAAGCATTTAAAATTAAGATTAATAACAGGTTTCTTGACTGATACAATTAAATCTATTTCCATAAACTTCATATTCATATAAAATGACTCTATCTTATGTTACTCAAGTTCCTGTAATTAAATACTGTTTTAAAGACGTCAGTATCTATCTGAAAAGTAACATTTACATTTAGTGTTAAGGCCACTATCGATATGATTCTGTTCTGAGGCCAGTCAAAGCTTTAATCTACAATCCCTGACAGTGTTAATATAAAAACAACAGGTTTCTATCCAAAATATATTTACTCATATTCAGTGTATAAGTGTAACCCTGGATCGGCAAGACGAACTAGGAAGGTATTATCATCATGGGCCGCGACTAGAAGTTTCCGACACCGGATATTCCCATGGATTACACCTTGGTCCTCCTGTTGGGGTGGGGGAAAAAGACTTACTCTGTATTCTTGCTAATTAAGAACAATTCAAAGAGATTAAAACTGTATCTACAGCATACTTCACACGTATTAGCCATAACAAAATTATGGATCAGGAATTTCAGCTCATCATATATCATGCCTGCTTTTTATAAAAATACTGTGGACAGTCAGCAATACTGAACACTGGAAGTTCATACAAAAATTATTTAATGACAATATATGAACTGAAGAGGATATTTGATTGACTGATTCTTTATTAAGAAATACATTTTGATGAAATGGAAAGAATGTTAAAGGAAACAAATGTGGCGACTATAAACATATACTTTGCACCCTTGTATATGTTAATAATTATTTATAACATACATACATAGATTACATACCAAGTGCCAGAGCGCTTTGGCAAGGAATGCCCCAGCTTCTACCAGATCCACCGGCTTCAAGCTGTGTTTGTGTTCTCTCAGATACACATCCAATGGACCCAAACTCAAGTACTCCATCACCATGGTAAAAGGACTAGATAATGTTATTCCATACAACTTTACAACTGCATTGGACTGCAAAGTTGCCCACTTACCACCAAGTTCAAGGAAAGCCTACAGAACGAGTAGAATATGCATTACAATTTTGTATTATTAATTAGTTTACTTATAAAAGTGAATGCTACTTTACTGCTAGCTGAAAGAATTGTGGTATGGACAATGAGGTCTGTATTAAACAGTGGAACAAAATGGGGGATTTTACTATGCACTAAGCAAATTTAAATCACTGACTACACTGCTCACGTAAAAATGTTACAGTGTGTGTTACTTTTTCGTTAAGTGATTTAAGCATGCATTAACTACTGAGGATATAAAGCATCACAATTTGTATATGACTTGGAAGGAATGTGGAATGAAATGCTCATAGTACATTTTAAGGTACCAATCCAACACTTTTTTTGATAAACTGATTCCCAAATAAAACCTCAGTCAGACTGATTGATTCTTGATATTCAACAAAGCTTTGTAAACAGTATACAATATATCTTTGGTCCTAAGTGACAAGGGTAAGCCCTTGACTTAAGATCATCTTAATGACTATCAAAGTTATACTGTTGAATATGACTGTGAATGATGAAAGGAAATGGCCAAGGACTATTTCAAGGTACTATCCCAAATGTCTAGAAGAACTGAAAAAAAAAAAAAAGCAGACAACTTCAGGCAACATAGCTACTGTCTGGGCTGAGATTTGAACCTGGGGCCTTCCAAATACAAACTAGGTCTTTTACATTCTTGATACAGAACCAGGAAACCACCTTAGAGTATGTATCAAGGTTATTATAAATTTAAAAAAGAAAATGAATAAATTAATAGAAGAGGAAGACAAATAAATCAACGGAACTGGCCGGAATCCATAAAATTAAATATGAGAGTTAGAAATTGTGACCCAAATTTTTATGCACAGAAAGTAACCAGCTCAGGAATAACACTTAGTATTGTATGAATTAAACTTTAGTCCATGCATTCATTACCGTCAGGTATGTATCTCTATATTCCTGCTTCAAAACTTTCATAGCTGCTTCAACCTTCTTGCCTTTCAATGGTTTCCACACACTTCGATATACAAGAGACATCCCTCCATGGCCTTCTTTCTTTTGATCTGAAAAATAACGATAACAATGTAAGCATCATAACATAGCAGTATCTTTGTTTCTAAGTGGTTTAAAATTGTTCCACAGTGCCACAAAATCCGTATCTTAAAGTAAGCTAACAATATTATTTTCTAAACAAGAATAATTAAACAGAACACAACAGGCTTCTTTTTACAGTTTAACATGCAGTATACACAGCGCAATAACCCAGAAGACAGAAATCTTCATGCAGTATACAGTCACAGAAAAATTACTTTAAATGTCATCTAACTTTTTACGATTACAAACCATCTTCAACATATTCAATACAGAAGTAATTTCTCAACAAACATTCAGGCATTATCCAATTTCTGTCTGAATTAGCTCAACGCGTTTGGAACAACAGTTGAAGAAACTACTGCTGCGACTCATTCCTGAATCAAACATTTTTACAGAATGTAGAGTGTTCTTAATGCAGAGCCCAAGAAAGATGTATAATGGGACCAGAAAAGGACTTCTAGATGACATAATGGGACTATAAGTTCCAATCCAGTATCCTAAAATTTTGGAATTTAAGGCTTGACAACTATAATGTTGAAATATTATTTAAAAAATAAGCGGAGATTCCAATTTCAAGTTTAACGACACCAATCTGTGGAAAAGCAAAAGAGCAGTGATGTGTTGTGTTGTGCCATTGTCCTCAACAAAACAAAAACTTCAAAATACTTTTGAAAATTTCCCTTTGCGAGTCAACTGCTTTGTGCAACACAACTCTTAAAGTGTGGGTATTCTTCTCCAATGGCCCTGTGTTCAAATCTGCAGAACAATAAGTAACATTGTGCCAAAAATTAATAAGACTGATCCCTACTTTTGTAGACTTGTAAGTTCCTGGCATTGATGCACTGTGGAGCTGCAGTGCGAAGGTCAGCCACAGCACTCTCTGCTGTCATCATGGCCACCTTATTGGACTCCAGTTGGCACAGAAGCAAATTTGACTTGTCTGCAAACAAAACACCAATGTAAGAACAACACTGCCAATCATGAGAAATCTAATGCATGCACAGTATCTATAGCTGCCACTATTTTAAAAATGCTGGAGCACATTTTAGACCTATGAGACAGAAAATACAAGAGAATGGAGAAGACTACATAATGAGGATAATATTAAAATGGATCTGAAAGGTAATATTGTGTAAGGATGTGGATTCATCTAGATCAGAAAGGGTCCAGTAGTGTGTTCTTGTGAGCACAGTAATGAACTTTTGAGTTCCATAAAGGGCAGCCAATTTCTTAATTGGCTAAGCAACTATTATATATTCAAGACTGTTGCTCCAGGTAGTTAGTTAAAATGATGTATAAAGTTCTTACTTCTCTTTGCTACATGCTACATGCCCTGCCTATTTCATCCTTCTGTATTTACTCACACCAACAATATTATGTGAATAGTACAGACTGTAAAGTGTGTCATTATATATTTTTCTCTATTTCTTTGTTCTTCATAACTCTTGATACCAAATATTCTCATCAGCACCTTGTATTGGTGTGACTGGTTTTAAATTACTTCTGAAACTTACGTATACAAATATAAAGTTCCCAATGTACAAACACAGTGAACTGTACCGTATTCAGAGGGGGGCAGACACTCCTGGAGCAAGATAGAGCCTTTGCTAGACTGATATACTGCCAAAAGCTGCACGATGCTTGTGTAAATATCTCCATCAACATCAAACCAGTATTCATCCTCTGCCACCTTCTCAATCTTGCAAGACTTTGGTTTTGAGCTGTTGAAATACACATTTAAAAAAAACTCATCAGTCACTGAATTTAATACCTCCTTCATGTGGACAGTAAAGAGTACCAATACAGCCTCAGTTTGCTGTCACAGGTTCTACAATTTGCAGACTACATTTTCTAATTATCTAATACATAACCACTGCATCTGTATTATCTTCAAACAGGAAAAACTTCACAATAATGTGACAAAATATGAGTCTAACCTACATTTAGTGTACATTATACTGACATTCTTACCACACTAAACTGTCACTGTATTTTGGTATTATGTACGGTTTCTATCCCAAGAATAAAACACTGCAACTTATCTATCTCAACTGGTCACCATATTACAGACCTATACTTCTGAAATATGTTTAGCAACTAACCTTTCCTTGGTGCACACATCTAAATAGTAGTGATCATAATTTGTTTCACTCTGTCTGAGAATGAAGCAACCTGGGGCACTGTTTCGTTTCTCTTCCAATTTGGCATATGAAAATTCTCCACTGAAAGAAAACTGGCTTTAACACACACATTTAAAATAAATTCACATATCATGATCTCTGCCATCATCTTGGCAACACAAATATTATTTCAATTTCACATGGTAAAAACTTCAATAAGTCAATGGCAAATCCTGGTCTAGACGTCATGTCACGTAGAATTTACATTACAGTAACTGCATTATCCCTAATTTTATTTTCATGGTGCCACATGTACAAAAGCACAGTTCTGGGTCCTCTAGTCAAGCAGTGAATCTACCACATTTCCAAGCAAAACATAAGAGCTTTTGCTGAATGTGAAAGAGAAAACATTATTTCTTTTCTTTCTATTTTTATAGTGGTCTGGTGGTCCACTGACAGCTACAATGCAGCACTCACCATTGAAATAAATGTTTTCCCTAACATTACATAAAAATATTATATAGCATATATTACATATTATATAGAATCTAAGTAGCTGAAACAGTATCAACAAATAATCCAAAGGGCAGTAAAATATTTACACTATATAAATTACTTGTAACAATACTTTTATAACAAACCCTTTTCAACTGAATAGGTTATACAGTGTGAATGTAAATGACAAACATAAAAATATACAGAAGTGAGAATGGCCTGTCTTAAAGTACAGAATGACGATAAAATACAGTGTGAATGTAAATGACAAACATGAAAATATACAGAAGTGAGAATGGCCCGTCTTAAAGTACAATTTAAAAGGCTTATAACTTTTTGGTCAAGCCACATATCAGAAAACAAATTTCTCCACAATTATTTATTGAAAGGTGCTCAGTGTGGCTTCCATAAGTGATGAAGGGCACATCCCATCAGAATGCAATCTCATCCTACACTCTACGTAACATAGCTTCATTGATACTCATTACTGCATCACAAATTTGGTCTCACAGTTCCCATAATGACAGCATCATAGCCCCAGAAATTAAAATCAAAGGCTGTAAGGTCTGGTAACCATGGTGGCCACCCAATAGGCCCACCTAAGCCAATCCACTTGCTGGGGAATGTGGTATCAGGGAAACGTAACCCTGCACTGATAATCTGATGGACAGCCATCCTTTTGGAACAGGATGTCAGTTACCTCACTGTCTTGCTCCATCTGGTGTATAGGGGACAGTTCTAGTATGTTCAAACACAAGATTCATCTGATCATCACACCTTTAGAAGATCTCTAAATTTCCAGCTGTATAGTTGGAGACCTGAATGTTAGACCACTGTTGTACATCAATTTGTTTTCCAATATGCAACAGCAATAAGACTTTAAAAGATTTTTAAATTGTACTTAAATTTGTGGTTATGCTGTACTACCCAAGAATGTTCTTTGAGGGAATAATGAAAATCTGTCATGATAATTGATCTCTGGGTTGGGATTCAAAACTAGGAGGACCTCATGAAAGCTGGCACTCAAATTGACATTCAATACAATTAAGTTTTGGATGTAATACTGATACTGTATCAACTGCAGACATGTATGTTGCAAATCTGGTAAGAGAATATTGAATCCTGCACTTTAGTGTAGAGGAACAATTTATTTTTTTTACCCCACAGGTCCATGACACTTCAAAGCATACAACTTTTGCAACAATGGTGTTGGAACATCTTTACACAAATTGAATGTCCATTTCACCATCAAGCGGTAATATCCATCCAACAAACTCACGAAGGAGAACATTAGTGGGCTGGAATGGAATTTCAGATATGATGGTATGCCATTTTTTCTTGAGATTTCAACAGTTCCATCATTGCGTACAGAGATGTAACACAGATCATCAATTGTACAGAGCTGATGCCACTAGAAACAAAGAAGAAGCTAGGTGAGATTTCAGGTTTTCAGAGCAATCAGTTTAAAGCTGACTCATCTGAGATCACTTTAAACATGTGATAAGGGAGATTACCTCTTTTTTTCCATCATATCGAACTCTGATTCCTGGCTGTTCTTCATGGAAAGGGTTAACTTTTATGAGTATGGTTTGCACAGATCCATCTTCATCTGTCAGTGCTTTATATTCTTCACTCAGATAATTTGGAGCCATTTCTTCAAACTGTTTCAAATACTCCCCCTTTACAAACCAGGCGTCATGTTGAGCACTCTTCTTAATTTTAACTAAACTGTCATGGATGGGTTTCTTAATAAAAAAGAAATGATGCTTAACAACCTCTTTGGGAATGTACTTCTTGTACTCACTTTCAACTATCTCTCTCTCTACACCTTTCTCCAACATTACTCTGTACATATCTGCAACTCCTAAACCAACAAGTTCCCATCTGTATTTATCATAACTTATGTCAGGGATTTCATTATTCATAACATCATTCCGAGCTTGGTGGAAATAATAATCATAAGCACATATGTCTGTTTTCTTCAGTCTTGAGAGACTGGGAACTTTATAGCGGAGTCTAAAGTCTGCATTTGCTCGCGTTTCAAATAATCTAAGATCTGGATTAAACCAAATTTTAGACCTATGCAGTCTGAGTGCAAATAAATGTCTGGCAACAGGCCCTATTCCAAGATGTTTGGAAACTTCAACACAAATATCTTCTGCTGTTGTTGAACTCTTCAGTGGTATATTTAAAATGGCACTATCAATACATATATGAACTGGAATAACTCTGCCATTCTCTCCCATAATTAAAAGTGTGCATGCTATTATATATTAAAATATGAAGTAATTTCTTATTAGTGACTAACAGCACTAGAGTAAATTCAGTTACAATTCAAGGAGATAGAAATTTGCATTATCAGCCTGCGAAACTGTGCTCAAAATTGTGCATGTGTCTCACTATCATGCGTTTTTGCAGCTTCAAATCCATTTCTATCTGCGTACGTCATTTATACCTGTATCAAATCAAAAATAACAAGCACAATTACATACAGCTGCTTAACGCCAAGGTAAGTATAAGATGTGTTCATGCGCAGCTGATATGACGTATATCGTGATCACCTTCGGCTGTATTATTGAATCAACTGAAGCACTGATAATCCGATTTGAATTGCATATAATATTTGAGAATTCTACGAAAAATATCGAATTATTTCAGTTTTCATTCGGATTAAATAATTTAATACGTAGGGGCCCACTGACTCTGCACAACTTCTATTAAATCCTGATTTGACTGCCAGAGCCATCTAGTAATTAATCAGGAGACTTGAGTGAGATCTTAAAACAACACCTCGTATCATGCTCGTAAGCTTCTTTTACATGCTGTAAATCTGCGACATTGGGATTTCCGCCCCCCAGAAAGAACAACGTAGTCATTTATGTCCACGACTACGCTGTACTCTAACAAAACGTGCCCACTGTTTTACTGGAGACTATTGAAACACAATGTTTTAAGAATTCGAACTGGATAGAATGCGATTACACATTAAGATAATCCCGTTTTTCACTCCTCCCCATCAAACATATCTGGGCGCGTGGACAGAAAAGTAATTTATTAATTAAAATTATTAGTGTGATCAAATAATACGTAATACGCAAAACATTTGTGGCTCTCCATGTTACGACATCTTACTTCCTTCTACCGTCATGAATTTCCCTCCCTCGCGCCAGTTTTAGACGAATACAAAACCGAAGTAATGGTGAATTCCTTGTTGTCTAAAGTTTGTTGATTCCAATATAAAGAATCAGAACTTTAGTTAAAATGCTCTGATAGTCGAGAAATTTACATTTGATATTTTAATTTAATTCTTTATATCTTCCAAACAGAAATTTCATTTATCAAATGTTTACATGCCTGTGACTCACATCATCGTAGAACGCTTTCCATTGCATCAATCACTTTGGAGCACAGAATTACATTTGCTTAAATCGTAAATCATGTGTCTCACGGTACACATATTTCCTAAGATCGTCTCTAAAGACTGAATATTCAATCACCATTAAAAACGACTTCATGTGTTCAATTCTGACGTCATTTTGTCATGACGTAATTGAACTAATTCTACTCGCGCATGCCCACATTCCTTTAGCAAAAAATTATACTTATTGTCGTCTGATACAATCATAGCCTTATGCGCCATCTTGCAGACTTGCCTTAGTACATAGTGGGTTGGGTTTGTATAGAGTTATATGGTTCCAAGTTGAGGAAGAAATTAGACTTTCTTTGTAGTTGTTGTTTATTAAGTTTGTGTGTGTGTGTGAACATTCCTCCAGACTAAAAAACATGATAATAACAAGAAATAAAATGGAATCAGCACTACAGTGTTTTTTGTTAAGTGTGTTATTTCTAGGATTTACAAACATCTTTTCTACTGTAGCGGGTGAGCATTAATTATGTTCTGCTTTGGAACTGTGTTTTTAGGGGATGTGTTGATGCTTATGCTTGACTTTGTCTAATTTGAAGTCTACTTTTCCACCCCTTCCTCCTCTTCATTTTGACAGTAAATGGAAACAATGTTCGTACACTAGTCATTAAATATCTGTCCTTGTATTATGGTAATAGCTACATTATTCATTATGGTCACATCTGTGAAGTGTTTGATTATTCTTAAATATTCACTTTCCATCGTTCTGGTAAACTGGAGAGGTTAAATCACATGCACTTAGTAACATTGAAAATGACAATTTCTAAATCACGATTTTCGCAAATCACTAGTTGTTCAGGACAGTGACATTTATTTACAAAATGAGTGTATACATCCTTTTCAGGAATTCAAATGATCTGGGTTTTGTTGTTACTTGATGGGAGTTGATTGATCCCATTTATCCTATTTCTGCTGCCATACACATAACACTGCTTTGCTTTAATTAAGCATGACAGTAAACATGCACCATAACCTTTAATTCAGAGAAATGCCTTATGAGAGAGGCAAATTCATTAAATGTTTTTAGTTACATTTGAAAGCCGGAGTAGCTACCTGAAAGTAGCACATTAAGAATGAGATTGAATCAATGTAGGCATTCTTATTCTGATATAAAATGAAGAAACATTGTTTGTATTTACTAGCACTTGGCCATTACTGATGCTATTTTTTACTTTGGTTTCACATGTAGGTTTTTGTGCTCATTTTTGAAAGTTTCTTTGGTGTATTATAATACAATTTTTGAGGTAAATACGTCTATAGGGAAGGGTCATTCGGCAAAACAGCGTTAGAAAAATGTGTAAGATCCATACCAACAATGTGTAAATATGGACCAACAATGGTCAGCTTTTATATGAACTCCTGCGTGCATAACAATGCTTTACTCCTTTACCTAAGAAACTAATTGTTATGTAATCTGTTTATTTGGCATTGTTGTGTTTCATTACTGCCGTCAATAGTCTGCTTTTGTTATTGCGGAAAGAGGGAGATTTGTTTTGAGTTATTTGGGAACGTTTGCTCCCAAATTTACAGAGATGTTTTCAATTATGGCCATAGAAGGCTGCAATACAATGCCCATAATATGGGTAGGAGATTTTAACATTGATTTAAAGGAGGAGGAAAATCAAAGCTTTGTCACGTTTATGGAGGAAACGTTTAGCTTAATGTTGATGTCAAATCCTCAATGTAGTACTACTAGATCAAAATCTTATATAGATATGGTGTTTGCACGAAATGTTGATCCTCTAAAGTGTACAAATTTTATAATATATTTCAGCTACCACAGACCCATCTTAAGCGTAACTAATTCAAGTTAAATAAGCAATGTCTTAATCAAACTATTTACTCAATTGTAAAGCATGTATAAAGGGAATATTTAGAATAAAGCTAATATATAAACTTCCTTTCATTGTATTTATTGCCTAAATATAATTTAAATACAAAGATGTATTTACGTCAGATTCTCTGGAACTGTGGTTTCACTGTCAATTTTTCTTTTTCATTCCTCATTAAAATCTCTTCTGTTTCAAAGATGGTTGCTCTGCTTCCTTAACCGTGTAATGATATTTGTTGGGTTTGAGGACTGCATAATAGTTAATGTTTTGTGATTCATACGTTAAGATTGAAATATCTTTACTACACAGTTACTGGTTGTATTATAACCACTCTTTGTTTTTTACTTTTTTTTTGGTCTTATTCCTATTTCGTATGGGTTGATGGTTGTATTAGAACTATTAGAGCCTACTGTTAAAGAAATATAAAGTTTGTGATTCATTAGAAGACTTGGATAGGTTATAGATTGGTTTATGTTAGGTTTAGTAAAAAAAGTTAAACTCATATTCAACTGAAAGTGTGTGTTCACCATCTCATTGAGTTGTTCTGTCATGTATACCATGTCTCATCAGGTGGAACCTTGATTTGTGCTGTTTTGAAGTTATGGTTTCACTGAATGCAGGAAAGTTAGTATTGTTTGTGTTTTGTTTGGATATGAAAGTAGCAATAATAAATGGTGATGCTGTGGTACATACGAATTATATGAATGTCACTGTCTCATTTTCTGTGTTAAAGTAAAAATTTGCTACAGCTGTAGAGATTGAGGCTTGATTCAGAGTATTGTACCAAATGCTCATAAAAGTTTATATTGTGCATCTTCCTTGCTATATGCTGTTTCTTTTATTCTGGTTTTTCTGATACCATTATTATATGGTATTTTTAAAATCTTCTTTGTAAGATTGCCTTAATTTTATTGATTATTGTACTTTTCTTGAGGCTGTTTATCTTACTCTCGATGAATTTTAATTTTTTTATTTTTGTCTCATTTGCATTGTTATATTCAGAGTAAGTTAGTTTTAAAAAAAAACATTGTTGGGAGAGAACAGAAGGATTAAATGATGGGTTGGTGGGTACATAGTAGGATTTTGGAGGTCAGGGTGTGGGAAGAGAATTTAAGAATGATTTTGAGGTTTAGATGTGAGTGGCAAGAAGTACAAATGATGTTGGTTTTCTGGATTGTAACACCATAAGAACTTGTAGGTAGATAACAACATTTCATACAAATATACTGTCTCCATCTTCAGCCCTGAAGATAGAAACAGTATGTTTCTCCAAAATGCAGGTATCTACCTACGAGTCAGCATGGTGTTAACCCACAAGACCAGCATTGAAGTTTGTACCACCGTAAGAACCTCAGATCTCACAACAAAAGAGTTTTTCTAAATTCAAGAGTAAAAGAAGTAACGTGCAGAAACTAAACAGTTATTTTCTGACGTTTTGTGGTAGTTGTATTATATTTGACAGTACCCAACACATTTTAGATGCTGTGAGAGATGGAGGCGAGAGATCAGCTCCGGCTGCTTTCACTGCATGGATAAAGAGCCCTAGTGCCCATTCTGTGTATTGAATTTTATTGGAATGAACAATTTCGTCTAGATGTAGTGTACATAAACCATTTTTAAGACACGTACATTTGATTTTGATTTATTGCCTGATATGTCTACATGGTATTATCTCAACATTAGCTTAACAGTATAAAAATACAAGTTTGCAATATGGATGATGCACAAGTGTTTGACAGTCCTAAAAATTTCAAGTTTGTACCTTTAATCCTTTTGGATTACACATTGAAATGTTAAGCCAAGCATCTTTTATTATATTTGAAGAATTATTCAGCAGTGGAAAATTACTAGGCCAAACAGGGATGACTATAAACTTTATCTTTCACAAAATAATAGTTAACTCTGTGTTGAGTAGGTTGTCTTGAACAGTTGGCCCTCATCTTATCAAGAAATTTTCTATTATGTAGCTCTTGCTATATCCTACACTGAGCCAGTTCAAACCAGTTCAGTCTAGTCCAGTGAAATATAATGAGTGCCCCAGTCACAGCCTGTTCACAAAGTAATATGGCTGTTGATTAATTGATATTGCATTTCTAAGATAGTGCAGCAGATAATTCTAATATGAAATTCCTGGGTAATTGATATTGCATTTCTAAGATAGTGCAGTAGTTGATTCTAATCTGAAATTCCTAATCTTAAAGATATTCTGTTTTTGTGTTTAATTTAGACATGGTTATTGAAGAACTTATTCAGCCTGTTAACTAATTATGTGCTTTATGATTTCTCAAAATACAACAAACAGAGATTTAAGTGTAGTCTACAGATCATGATTTTTATGCTTTTCTTCTCTTCCTCATCGTTCAGAAGTCGGTGCTGTAGAATGTGTTTACTGTTAGAGGGGAAGAAAAATAATTGTGGGTGGAAAAAATTATTTCATTCATTTATAGCAGTGTTCTGCATCACCCACAGTACACCCTACTTTGTCAAAGACACATGATATCGCTAACCACAGAATTTCACCTTATGAAGTGGGGGTATGAAACTAACATGACGAGAAGAATATATCTGCATGTAAATACTTGCCAAAATGATTGCGGGCATATGAAGAAAAAAAACATTACACATATTGGATACAACTATCAATTATGAAAGAATTCCCATTTCCTAACAATAATGTGCAAATGTACAAATGTGCCATTTCTTATAAAAATTCGTGGCACACTGATTGCCTAACACTGACTTAGAGGACTAAGATGGAGATTTATGTATAAAGATTACTGATCTATTCAACTGGTATTCTGTAACCAAACATAGAGCATGTACTAACAGGTGATCCTCATGGTACTTCTTCAGAGTCACTAAAGGTCCAGTAAACATGAGGCAGGAAATAGATCCAATATTATTCATAGTCTAATTGGTCTTTGACTCAAACTAACAAAAGTGTTGACTTGGTGTTCCTATGAGACCATGTTTGTACAATCAAAACTGCAGAGAATAAGATAGAACCACCACACTATAACTTGTTAATTCATATATTTATTTTGGAACTCTTTTTTACTAAGTGGTACCTCCTGTTCCATGACATTAATGTTTTCCAACTCTGCAAATGTCTATCTTATTGGTGCCGTATTCTTGGTACCACGCAAGACTCCAGAAGTACAGCTTGTTTAATATCCACTTAAAGTCTGTTCGTCCATAGTTTTGCAGTGTATTTCATTTTTAATATTTTGATAGGAAATATTTAAAGAGTTTAAAACCCTAACTTTATATGTTAAATGTTTAGACCTTGGATTCATTTTCTGCACCATACACATGATGATAAATCACATGTAGTATATTTTGGCAGGTTAAAAATTTACCACTCATTTCTGTATACTTTCTCTTGGCGAGTAGGTGAACATATTTTTGGAGCCATGGCACCACATAAAGAGTATCATAAGCCATGTTGCTGTGTTTAAAGTTCCTGATCTCATGCCAAGCAAACCAGTATCTTTGGCATGTGAGGTCTTCATATGTAACAGGTGTACATGTGTGGTATATAGTAGATAATTCATACTGCAAAGTCAGTGATCTTGGCTGGTTTGTTTCCCCATCACCTTTTGCACACAAACATCAATTCTAGGGACCTTCCAGTGTCATCACATAATTGCGTTGAAAGTCTCTATCATAATTTCCTTGTATTACTGATACAAATTTTGATACAGAATATTTGATAGTGGTAGTGTTTTCCATTATCTGTGCTTCTTTTTTCATTATATTGTATTGTTATTGTGTTTAGGAAGTTCTCAAGGGTTATACTCAGGTAATCAAGTGGTGGTAGAAGGTGACACATTTAATATCACTTGTCAAACGGATGTGTTTGCCTTCATCAAATGGCAGAAGGATTCTCGTTCAATTGTTGGTGATTTGCTCAAGCAATATAACGTAACTGAGCACAGAGGTAGTGATACAGTCACCTCTAGTATATCTACTTCTAATGCTCAGATATCCCAATCTGGGAGCTACCGGTGCGGTGCATTTGTGGAAAATAGTTACCACCTCTATGTTTTGAGTGGTAAGGGGAACGTTCATTTTTCGTTTGCCGTGTGTTGATGCTCTAATACGTGTGACATGGCATGACTTGTTTTTTTTGAAAGGTTTATGTTGCGTTGTAGGCTCCTCTTACACTTAAAACATGCTTCTTTTTTGTGAAGTAGCTGTGTAAAGCTGCAAATAACCTAGGAAGATGTTATCATTTCCATCATTCAGTACATGTGCAAAAAAAAAAAATCCTTAAACCAATTAAATTTTGGCTTATGAATAGAACAGCTGTTCTTTTGTTTGGGCATGGTCCTGTGATCCCTCATCTTCCTTTTCCCTCTTCCTGTCTAATGCTGTATCTGTTTCAGTTTTTCCTGATAGCCACAGCAAATCTTAATTCTTTTACCTGTAGAAAATATTCTCAATTACAGAGAAAGTTGTGAAGTGAAATGAAACTTATTTACTACTACTACTACTACCACTACTACTGCTGCTGTTTCTCTTACTACACATAAAACAATTGAATATCATGGCTGAGTAATCAGTGCTCCTACTTTGTATTCATAAAGTCCTGTGTTCGACTTTTATCGCTTTTTTGTTTTTATTTTTATCAGCTTTGTCAGCCTTAATTAAAATAGGCCGTGATTTCTTTCTTTGTTCAGCACACTTTTTAATTAATCATTCACAGTCTTCCTATCATTGGATACATAATAACCTGCCTAGAATTAGTTACAGAATGATTGTGAGATGTTAAAAGAAACTTGGAGGAGTAACAATAGTAAAGCGTGTTGAAAATACAGCTATTCTCGCAACTGTCTTAAGACCTGCAGCCTTTGAATTCATTCATGTTGCCTTCAGTGTTTGTAGCACTATTTGAGAAATGATCCATTTTTTTATTTGGCTGTATGTGCATCATATGCATTAAAAATAGCAGTAATATTTGACATGGTGTTGGATTTCCTTGTATATAATTTCCACATTCCCTTTTTAGATATTGTACGAAATATTTGAAATATTGCTTTTTATGGCTAAAGTGTAAATGGAACAACTTTACAATTTGGTGACTGTGTACTTGAGATTCTTTAGACCACATACACTTGTGTCATATTGCCAAACATGTCACAAATTTGTTGACCAAACTCTTCACTGAATTGTATTTGTTAGAAAATATGAACATGTATATGAATGTAAAAAAAAGATGTTTTAACTCTGCCAATAATGTTACAAGTGTTTGTTGGTGAATAATGTAGCAGTGTGTGTGGGGTGTTGAGGTGTAAATAACTGGTCACTGTATTGTAAAGTATTACAGTTTCTTTTATAATCTTCTAACTTGGAGACAGTGCACTGTAGTTAGTCCTAGGCAACTGTAGTGAGGAGGAGGTGAGATGAAGCAGGTTACCTGCAGACTGACATGTATCCAGCTCATAAGCTTTTGCATTAATACAGTTTGCATGATTCAATTCTTGCTTTGAAGAGTAACAAATACATTGCTGAAGCTACATTATGGTCAGTTTCTAATCCATGGTATACATATAGTTTTGGTTTGATTTTTAGTGTCTTGTAGTTTTTTAATATAAATATGTGTATTTATCATGCTGTCGTTTTGATATTATTGAAGTTTTGTTCTATTGGTATTATCCCTTCACTGATAGGTAATGGTGGTGGTGGTGATTGCATGTAATAAGGAACACTGAAATCACATCAAAGATAATCATATTGCATAATTATCTCTTTGTTCTTTCCAGCATAGTAAAATAGAGTACAATTAAGCAGGTATTGCCCCTCCTGATGTATTAACGTGTAGCAATATGTAATTTAAATACTGAAGAAGAAATGGCTTGTAACAGAGAACACTAGTGTTGTTTGTGGAATTGATAAAGGGATGAAGCTTTGATGCTAAAGCTTATGAAAATAATATTTAAAAATTGACCTCCTGTCACAAAGAAAATACAGCATATATAAAGACTAGTTGCCTAAAGTTGTTTGGGGAAATAATCACTGTTTATTCTGAGAATCACGAGAAACCGATAAATACGCTTCCTGTGAAAAGCGCAAAGTTTCTGATTGTTGGAGCAAGTGGTACATGGAGTTACCACTTGGCATTGCCATTTAATCGTCTTCACAATATTGGATAAAGGATGGAAATTATAAAATTCTTCATCATGTAATTTTGTCCATCCTGTTACTTTCTCTTTCGTATGTCCCGATATTGTTCTCAGCGCATGCAAAAATATATTCTTAATGTGTTTTGTTTTCTAAGTCTGAACTTGATCTTATATTTTTATTACAATATGGTTTGAAAGGTTAATTAGGTTAGTGAACCTTATTTGGATGGAAGCACTTCAAGACAGAATTTTCAAGTGCTTCATTATATTCGTGTTTTTGCCTATTTTAATCATTAGAAGGCTGATTAAGTTGTGAAATATGCTGATAAGACCACCCAGTCATTATGAGGATGAAGCAGACTTCTGATAATTGGTCTGTAAATATGTTTAAATGACCTTCAGATATGGAGCTATAGTTTCTTGGTACTGTAGTCTGTGTAGGTTTTCCCACCTTGTAACGGTCATATTGCACATGTGCTTTCCTGTACTTGTATGAAGTGTGTAAGCACTTGGCTGATACCTTTTCACAAATGAAATATATGATGCAATACAGACTTGGTATGTTAAAAAGTAACTTCATAATAAAAGTCTGTTTTTATATATTCTTTGCTGAGAATGCATTAAATAAATGTTTGATGACTAGGTTATGTCCATCTGCATATTTCATCTCAAAAACTTCAGTAGATTTTGGAGAAAATTAGAATTTGTTTTCTGCGTTAAAAGTTATCTCACAGGTTCTCTCAGTGGTGATTATGAAGGTGACTGACTGTCTACTGGGATGTTGTGCCATGTGCTATGGTGAAACTAACCAGTATTTCAGTGGTGCTTACAGCAAGGAAAAAATTCTGGCAACGCACCATGTTTCTAATACATGACAGGATATGGTTGATTTCTTAGATGTACCTAATAGTGAATGAAAATAATCAAATGTCATACACAACATCATCATTAAATGATGTGTTTACAAATGTTTGATTAAGAGAAATACCAGTTCAGGATTTATTTCCAGGAATTATGAAGTTATTTCCAGTTTTAACCTAGCTGAGTAGCCACAGTGCTTTGTTAACATGAGCTAATGAACATGAATTAGAAAGAATGTGGACAGATGGAGATGTAACATATTTTAAAGAACTCGCTCAGTTGTTTTCATGGACTGAGGAAAATGACAAGAACCTCGAGTCAGAACAGATGGTCAGTGGGTTGCCGTGTAACTTGTCATTGACACATCTTTATTAAATGAACCAAACCAGACCTTTTAAGTGCAGCATCATCTATGATAAGAGCCAGATTAAATGATCAGACCTTGAACTTTGGTCTTCTTCATTGACATGTCCATTTGCTGATGCCATATTGCAATATTTCCCCTCCAACAGCACCGTTCAGACACTGCGGTCATCTGCCGCCATTTGCATAGCGTTATGTGTAATTTTACTGGTGCTTGCTATTCCTTGTTTGTTTTGTCAGCTGTTAAGGCACACCAAGGTTATGAAACTTTAAATTTTAATGATGGTTCTGGTGACATGTGTCACACTGTACTGCATGTTTTACCTTCATTTCAAATGTGGCTTCTTATTCTTTGCTGAGAATGCATTAAATAAATGTTTGATGACTAGGTTATGTCCATCTGCATATTTCATCTCAAAAACTTCAGTAGATTTTGGAGAAAATTAGAATTTGTTTTCTGCGTTAAAAGTTATCTCACAGGTTCTCTCAGTGGTGATTATGAAGGTGACTGACTGTCTACTGGGATGTTGTGCCATGTGCTATGGTGAAACTAACCAGTATTTCAGTGGTGCTTACAGCAAGGAAAAAATTCTGGCAACGCACCATGTTTCTAATACATGACAGGATATGGTTGATTTCTTAGATGTACCTAATAGTGAATGAAAATAATCAAATGTCATACACAACATCATCATTAAATGATGTGTTTACAAATGTTTGATTAAGAGAAATACCAGTTCAGGATTTATTTCCAGGAATTATGAAGTTATTTCCAGTTTTAACCTAGCTGAGTAGCCACAGTGCTTTGTTAACATGAGCTAATGAACATGAATTAGAAAGAATGTGGACAGATGGAGATGTAACATATTTTAAAGAACTCGCTCAGTTGTTTTCATGGACTGAGGAAAATGACAAGAACCTCGAGTCAGAACAGATGGTCAGTGGGTTGCCGTGTAACTTGTCATTGACACATCTTTATTAAATGAACCAAACCAGACCTTTTAAGTGCAGCATCATCTATGATAAGAGCCAGATTAAATGATCAGACCTTGAACTTTGGTCTTCTTCATTGACATGTCCATTTGCTGATGCCATATTGCAATATTTCCCCTCCAACAGCACCGTTCAGACACTGCGGTCATCTGCCGCCATTTGCATAGCGTTATGTGTAATTTTACTGGTGCTTGCTATTCCTTGTTTGTTTTGTCAGCTGTTAAGGCACACCAAGGTTATGAAACTTTAAATTTTAATGATGGTTCTGGTGACATGTGTCACACTGTACTGCATGTTTTACCTTCATTTCAAATGTGGCTTCTATATTCATTGCTCTGATGATGGAGGCAGCAAGGACCTCTGAAACATTGGTAAACTTCTATCAGACTACAAGGTGCTACATGCCAGAAGACGGCCAACTTTGGAATATAAGTCTAGACACAAAGATAGAACTAATCACTGTGTAAATTTGAAGATAATGATGTACTGTAAATGTTTAAAGTTCATATAATTTGTCCTCTTCCTGCAGATCTGTAGATAATAATAGTCATCTAGTTCTTGTGCCAGTAAGAAGAGACTGAACTAAAATTGAATGTACAGAAGTCCTGAAAGTTATATTAGTTGGTTTTATTTATCTACTTATTTTATATTTATCTTTAAAGCAGCACTGCCCCAATCCTAAATCATGATTTTAAATTCTAATACAGAACCTGTTAATCCTAATAAAAGACAACTTTGGAAGGAGATGGTTTTCGAAATATTTTCAGTTGCAAATACATTGCAGTATATTGATTTGATAAATGTAATGTTATGGCTTTCATGTATGTCAGAATGTAGTCCTATTTGGACAACCCTAGGAGCATCTAGTCCTGTGTTAATGTGGATAGAACATTTCTTTTCTAAGAAGGAATGAGATTCCGGAGCTGTGCCTATCATATCTGAACTGTGTACGTGTTCACCTGCTTGTTTTTGTAAATAAGGGAACATTTATAACTTGCCTGCACCATGAAGCTAGCCAAGTTTACATTACTCCTGTTCAACATTTCTGCTTAGTGTTGGAAGTTAGAGAAATAAACTACTGGACCATGATCATAAAAGTTTTGTCTGTTTTAGTGTTCGTTAAATGTAGGTGATCTACAGATGCCATTGCTTCTTTTTCTTTTGTCAGCTTTCCATGTTGTATAAAAAATATTTCTATTGGTTGCCAATTTTCATTATTCGTTAAGTTAGAATCCTTCTTTTTTTTTCTTGTAATGTTTGAATCAGCTGAACAGTTTTTATGGAAATGAATGACAAGTTCATGCTATATGAGGCCTTTACACTACTGTGCCCTGTAACACAGTATCAGTTATGCTGTCTGTGTGTACTTCTACATAGGAATAAACACATTGCAGCATTATTCAGTGTAGGATTAGTATGATGATATTTTCATGAAATATGTGACTCCCATTAAGGTCATTTTTTAGAAGTAATACAGTGAAATGTGAATGCTTTTGTCAGTTTTATAACGAACCATATTAAATTAGATTTTGTGAGTGATGAAGAATGGTTTGATGGTGTCTGAGAACAGGATGCTGGGAAAGATATTTGTATTTAGGAGAGATAAACTAGTAGGTAAGCAGCATAATGAGAGGTTTTATATTTTGTATTTGCCATGGAGCTGTTAATAATAAAATTAACGGAATTCACAGAAGGGAGGTAAACGTAAATCTAACATATGCCTTATGACTGCATGTTTAACTGTCTTTCCCTTTGATGTTAAGGCAGAATTGTTTTGTGTTAGGCAATCCATATAATGTATCACAGCTGCCAGGATGGTGCTAGTTATTTTGGTGGAGCTATTGTAGAAAATTACTACTACTTGCAATATGTACATATGTGTGCATCTGCCATTGTCTCAAATGTGCTACCCTTTGAAATAACAACTGTAGTAGTTTAATAGGAAGTGGGTTTAAAAATGACCTATTCCTGTTCAATGCTAATATTAAAATAGACTTTATAAGCAGTTGGTGATGACGTCAGTTTGAAAAGGGCTGCCACAGCAGTTCCTAATTCTGTGTCTTCAGGAGAGTTCAAGTTTCATTTAAAATCATGGTAGATGTAAATAGGTTCGATGATTGACAGTACTAAGTTGGATATTTTATTTCCTCTTTTTCTGCCTCTCTTACCTTGAGACAGTTTTTTGGTAGCTAGGCTTGTTTGTGTGTCAACACTGCTGCTGCAGTTAATTAATTAATTTTTATTCTGAATTTTGATTATTTTATTTTAATGTGTAACACGGATGTTACTATAAACTCAAATAATTTTTAGTTAGTCATTGTAAACTTGTTTTCAGATGCTTGAAAGTAAACTTTGTAGACAATTTCAAAATAGTTTTATACTCTAGAAGTTGCAGTATACATTTTTGCCACTATCATCTAGCAGTCAATAAGTTGGATGACTAGTTGACCCGTTCAGGCCTTCGTAATCCTGGTGTTTCTTTAAAACTCATTCATGATTCCTTAATACATGATTTGTAATTTCTAATAGTCTGGACGTCTGTCTGTCTCATTGCGTTCTGTCAATATGACAAGTCCTGATTTCCAATATAGGTCCTGTTTTTAGTTCTTTTAATTTGTAATTGTTTCTTTTATATTGCATTTTGCTGTTTTCTCATGAATTCCATTTCAGTTGTAATTTTGGTTTTGTCTTGTGCTTTCATTGCTTAGTTTTTACTCTTTAAAATTTTACTAAAGCTAGAGTATTATAAATTTTTGTTATATCACGTTTCTGAGTTTTTGATAGTTTGAAAATTGTGTTCATAAGGTTGTAACTTTTAAACGTTAATTTTAGCATCTATATCTTGTATATATTTTGTATGGTATTGAGCATCCAGCACGATTAAATACCGACCTACATTTTTATAATTGCAAGTATCACCATATCTTAAAACTGTCTTAGCTGTTGAAGTTAGGATTCTGCTTTGAGAGTTCTTCATCTTCTTCCTCATAACATTTGGTTTGGGTTTGCTCAAGTTATGGAAATTTACGTTCGTTATTTTGGAACATAGATTGTTGTCAGTTGCTGTTTCATAGGGTTGGGTGTTGGTTTTGATGTTTGCATAGACAAATTTTGTTACAGAATGAATTAAAGTGTGGTGCATTTTCTTGTAATGATTTTCTTAGTTTATGTTTGTAATTTTTGCTGGTGAGTGAGACACTTTTCTTATATTCATTTTTAAATCTCTGAGCATTGGTTCCAGGAGTGGAATGCAGTTGACAGTTAATAATAGTATATGTGATCCAAAGAAATACAAAAGTTGGGATATTTGATGGAAGCGCACAATTCTTTGTGCGCAATTGCATTTCTCCCATTGTTACACCCAGTGCAGTTCTCCAGGTGACCCCCCCGCCCTTTTTAAAGCCTATTCTAAATCTATATTTAGGTTGTAATGGAGACAAAACATTAAATAAGAAATTGGTTGTTGTGTTTATTTCTTCACTTCTGGGAGATTGCATTTCAGTTTGAAATTCATTTATGACACTTTGTTATACATTCTGACTGATCATGTCCTTCACATATTGCTGAAACAGAATGAAATCACATTTATTCTGAATATTGTACCATTTAAACTCTTATATTAACATAATTATAGGCCTGTATGAAAAATATTCACGTTATAATTTTGAGTACAAGGTTTGTATTTATATTTTTCATTTCATCATTTCTGTGTTTGTAATTGGATTCAGTGGACTGTAATTTGGTACTTTGTTGATAAACAGTTCTGAGCTGGTTGATGTTTTGATAGCATACTACATCTATATTTCGGAAGTACCCATTTCTAATATAGCTAGCCAACCTGTGGCTGGGTATTTTAGTTTGTTTTTCTGTCTCTCAAGGTGAATATTGAGATGATACATTACCATACGTCTCACAAAATATTGTCATCTTTCCACCATATTGTAATTATATGCAGTTAGAATAATGCTGCGTAGACAAAGTTTCATATATTGGAAAATAATGTCTAATGATCTGATGCCCTCTTCAGACAGACAATTCTCAGAGTTTGCCACTGACCTTCTTAGTATACTTTGTATGTAGGGGCCCATTGGTTAGAATCTTGATTTGAATTATCAGTGTCTAAGTAAAGGCCAGAATAGTAACTTAACCACTTATCATATTTGATTGTTCATAATTATCCTACCATAACTCTTTTAGTGCTGTATAACCATAGAATAACTAAATAAACAAACAATGTGAAGTTTGTGCAGATTTGTAACTTTGTTGTTGTTGTTTATCTTGCAGCGAACTCCATCTCAGTTAACTATGATGTTAATTCGACAAGATACAAGTCTATAACTTTCAAGTTACCACTGGAAATACAATGTAACACCACGGAAAGCAGTACAAGGATGGAATGGTACAAAGATGGTGTAAACATTACAGTTCCAAAAGATAAAAGATTGAAGATAGAGGACAACAAACTTGTGATAGAAGATCCCAAGGATGAAGATGCAGGGAACTATACTTGTAGAGCAGTGCTCACCAAAGGAAATGGCACTATTGGAGAAAGACTTATTGAAGTAATTGGTAAGTCAGAAGGGTCAATCAGTTTGCACAAGTTGTATCTTTTATTCTTGTACAATTTTGTGACCGCTTTTTCTTTAATTTTTAGGTTTGCCGAGGAAGACGGTTTTTGTATTAAGTTTGCCTTCCATTTTAATATAATTATTATATAATTTCCTCCTCTGATTAGACTTTAAAAAATTTGGAATATATGTAATTACATATTTGTATTCCTTAATGACAAGTTTAGGTTACTTACAGATAGTAGCTAAGCAAATGGTCACTTTCCATGCATTTCCATGTTACAGTGCTAGATGCGTTCCATGAAGATATAAACTTAACAGTGAGGCTAATGGACTTTTGTGTGTATTTTTGTTACTTGTAAAACAGACTGTCCTTACCTGGTGGTTATTTTTGCCCCTTTCTGAAGGGATTATCAAGTGAAAATCAGTAAATGATTTAAGTGAACACAGAACAAAAAGCATAATACAGGTCATCATTTAAATTGGCATGTACCCCATAAGTGATGCTCCATTTTTGTTTATAACATCATGTCAATGCTTTATGTTTATGTTTTTTGGTGAAGTGCTGTTCAGACATAATGCACTTTAATGTGTTTGAAATTTGATTTTTAAGGTGGTGTTATAATAAGGTGAGGTTGTTTTTCTTTAAGAATACTAGACAGTGGACAAAGGGTATAAATCCAGCAATACTAAGTTAAGGTATGTCCCAGAGAGAGTATTGGTCATGTTTTTCAAGTGTCATTAGAATGAAATGTCATTAAGTAACATTTAAGTGAGGTATATCTTGTACCAGAGAATTACCAAATGTAAAACATTGAATATCAGTCATGAAAACTTTAATACTATCAGTAGATATACAAGAGATTTGAATATGTCTTCATGGCTGCCAAAAGTTGTGTTAATATAAAAGGAGCAGTGAAAAAACAGATTTAAGAGATGTGAGGGTATGCTTTTTTAACTTTGGTACATATTTTACAGGAATGATATCTCATATGCAGGGGTTAAAATAATTTTTATATGTTGGAAAACTGATGTATTGGAACTGGGTTTATAAACCAAGAACATAGTAATGAAAAGCTTGCATTGATATTGTAGTTTTTTTTTTTATTATTGAGAGCTGGAGACGTTTCATTCTGAATGAGGGATTGCTGGTTTGTTGGCAAGCAATTCCAAGTCTACTTGTCAAGCCATTGCTTGTTTGTATTCAAGTAGTGATGGTCGCGTATTACCGATATATCTGATTGCAGTGAAGCCTCATGTAGGGATGCAGAAGGATGTGACTGTGGTAGAGGGGGAGAAGCTGAAGCTGGAGTGTATGGTGTTTGGCAGACCACTTCCAGAAATTTCATGGACATTTGGCAAGTATCCATATATTCATTTTAAAGTAACAACATGGCGCTGTGCCATTGTGTAAAATTAGCTTACATTTGGTTTAAACTGGTGAATTCTGGATGTTTTAAATACATGACAGTTGCTACAAATAGTTTTTACCTGTGGAGAATGTAATTATAACTATAGCCACATTCTATGCCAATGAATCTCCAGCAGACGTTTAACTTTGACTTTTAACATTTATGCAGGGCACAGTTTTCCTACTTACCATGTTTTATGTTGTCTAATGGAAATACCTTTATCCTCTAGTGATAATACCAACTGTACATATGTCTTGCCTTCTTTATGCACATGAAGGAACAGAACTTAATCAACTTCTGTTGTCAAAATGCTGGAAAAATATTGTGTTATCTGCTGTCAGTAATTCAACCCTTGTGAGGGGTGAGGTTAATTTTGATTACATCCAACTGGAATTTCCTTGTGGCCAAGAAGAACTATGTGAGGGATTTAGCCCATTGTTACTTATAATGCAGTTGAAGACAGTTAATGTAAATGCATGAAGGGTTTCAAATATCTGAATGTAGTGATGGAAAGCCTCCCCATAGAGGTTTACTAAGTAGAACATGTGCTTCTTACAGCGGTGAATGTGAAGATGGCTGTCTTCTGGGTTGTAGCAACTTATAGTCTGATAGAAGGTCACCACTATTTCAGAGATGAAGACAATAGTTTTTTCTTAGGGGCAAGTGTAACTCAATCAGTGTAGTGACTGACTACGGAGTGGATGACCGGGGTTCGATCCCCGAGAATGAGTAGGAGCTATACTGCCTCTCCCCACAAGTGCCTACATGGCATATAGTGGAACAGATTTACTTACTTTACTTTTTATTATTTTTTCTTAAAATTTTAGAGTGGTCATCTTATCAGAAATTTATTTCAAGTGTAAGAGTTGATAAGGTAATTAAAATAAAAAAAGAGATTGATTTCACAATGGTTATCAGATGAGAGTTCTGCTTTTTATCTGTTAAAGAATGTATGTGAATTGGCTCTGTACTTCTGAAGGTGACCCTTTTCTCTCATTTTCTTCAAATTTGTGATTTTAACATATGTTGTGAATCAGTGTAAATCTGATAGAAATAGTTTTTTTGTACCCTGTCATGATTGCCTTTTGATATTGGAAGCTGCAAGGATTAGTACATCCTTATTATAACAATGTGTAGTGGAGGACACATGTTAGTCAGTCCTCAAGTTGTGATTGGTCAGACCAGCATTTAAGTCAGATGTTCTATAAGCTTGTTTTGGTCAGCCATCTGGTTGTAGACCACAGTGTAATATGTGGTCACCTTTTCAAGTGTACCTCAGATTTTTATTATCACTAAACATGAGTGTTGTGTACATTAAACACTGATCACAAGCAATTAACATTGTCATTTTTTTCCCTTAGGTAATGAAACTTTCTACAGAAGTCGCGATCGTGTAATGCTTCAAGAACATAATGGTGTTGCCAACGCACTATTTGTAATCAAGGAAGCAGCGATGGAGGATCGTGGATTATATAGTTGCATTGCAACAAATGCTAATAATTCCACAGATAGTGCTGAAGTAAATGTTAGAGTGAAGGGTAAGAATTGTAACATTATTTGAAGGCTTTTGTCACTGTTTCCAAGGTGGTCCATATGGATAATTCCCAGAGTGTAGGTATGACTGTGGCTCTGAACCAGTTAGCTGCAGTTACCTTGTTAATAAAGTAGTTGTTGCTTATTTATAACTATCATCTCACATTTTTTTTCCTTGACCGCTGAACAAAATAAGCGTCCAAATACCTCTTAGCCTAATATGTAAGAACATGTTTGCAGAGATTTCTGTTGTGAAATATCTTCTTAGTGTATCTGTGAAATTTTCTTCTGGTGAATATTATTAATCTGCTAATGTGTGAAGTACATGAAGGCACATGTACCAGGCCAAGTCAGAACAACAAGAACCCATCATTGGGCCATATCCTTTGCTATTCCCCTTGTCAACAACCTATTTCCCTAACATTGGCTTTATCTTGGCTACATTCTCAGCTGATCATAGCCTCCTGGATTTCAGTTTTCCAGTCTTATTTGGATATTGAAATATAGGAGAGTGCAGAAAGTGAGGCAAGGAATACGTACAGAGTTTTGCTGAGGAAACATTTTTGAAAAATGCCACTTGGAAAACCAAGGAGGAGGGATGGGTCATAGATAAGCATGTTGTGTAGATGGAAGTTGGTTGAAATTGTCTTACAGCTGTCTAGTAGTAGTAGTAGTGGTGTTGAACATTTTGTTTATACTAGCAGAGTGTTATTTTATTTTATTCATTGTTCTGCATCATATTCCAAATTATTTCATACTTATTTATCATGAAGTACAGGGAATTCAGAAGATATATTTAAAAGAAATACCGCTTGTGGGAGACACTATGTTCCCTGCCTTGAAACTAGAATTGAAAATAGTCTTTTAAAATAAAGAATAAAAAATTATACAAGTTTATTATTTTGATAGAATTGGAAGGTTTTAATTCAGGTGCCAGGTTGAGTTAACCTGTTTTGTTATACTGCATTTAGTATTGTTTGTCCTGTCACAGATAAGCTAGCAGCCCTTTGGCCATTCCTTGGCATATGTGCTGAAGTGTTTGTTCTCTGTGCCATTATCTTGATCTACGAGAAGAAACGCAACAAGACAGAGCTGGAAGAAAGTGATACAGATAACAGTCCTGAAACGTAAGTCATTTTATAGTCTCTTATTGACAGGTTAGTATGGTTACAAATGAACTCAATATGGGTTATCAAGGCTGAATTTTTTGCTGGGGATATTGTACTGATTTTAAGCCTATACGTGGGTTCAACTTGTTAAAGTTCAATTGTGAAAGCTGTTGGATTGTAGTGTTCTGGGTTATGGCTCTGTGTACTCTTCTAGGTGGTTACTAGTTTTTTTTTGAAGGATTCTGTCACTTTTATCTGAATATTGCTGCATTGAATTGTAACCCAAAAGACTACAATCAAAATTTTTACTGCCATGTGAACTTCACTTTGCTGAAAATTGCTTTTTTGATACCCTGAATTATAAAAAGCTGACCATGCTCATTGTTTTGTTTTACAGAAAGAACACACCTGACCACGGCAAAGATTCTGTTAGACAGAGGAAATGAATGCAAGTGTCTGCCATAAAGGAAAAAAATAAAATAAACTGTTGGCTTCTTTGTTAATTTTTTAACTTGAAAAAAAGAATAATGTTTTGATGATCACCAAGTTTTTAGTAAAAAATAGGGTAGCTATAAAAATGCATGTTTTGACACTTTAGATCATCTCCCTCCCCTGAGTTTGCAGAGGAATATGAGACAAGGAAATGCACATATAGGATGGCCCTTTATTTCATGTGAATGAAGAACTGCATATTTGTACTTCCAAACCCCCCCCTCAAAAAAAAACAACAACAAAGTGTGGTGATGATTTTCTGTTGGGGGAGGGAAATGCACTGTGTACTGATGAGGAAAGTACACCAATGTAATAATTCTGAAACATGATTCTTGTTTATGGTAATTTGTAGGAAGATACACCAAAACATTATGTATATGAATATAAAATAAGTAAACAAACAACTATTAACAGTATAAGAAGACACTATTGCCATATGCGTTTCAACCTCAAGAGGTCATCATCAGTGGCATCAAGGAAATTAATTAATTTAATCAAATGGTTTAAACTGGATTTAGAAATAAATAAGCTATTGATCCGATGGTTCGGTAGCCGTAGATGGTCTGCGGCGAGCTGTGGTTACGTTGTCCGTAGCTAAGTGCATAGTTCTACTCTGTGAATAACAACATCTAGTGCAGTATCGTTTGAAATACTTTTGTGAAACACCTTATTTATTTCTAAATCCAGTTTAAACCACTTGATTAAATGAATTAATTTCCTTGATGCCACTGATGACGACCTCTTAAGGTTGAAACGCGTATGGCACTAATGTCTTTTTTATAGTGTTAATAGTTTGTTTGTTTGCTTATTTTATATTCTAATACACTACACGATATGCAAAGTTTTAAGATTATACCTATGGTTTCCATTTATGGAGACAACTGTAAATGTTTTTTTTTGTTAACTTCTTTAGGCAGAATGTTCTGATGTCTTTTTCTTTTCTTTCTCCCCCCCCCAAAAAAAAAAAAAATTCTCTGAGCAATTGTGAATACTGTGGTTATCAGTTCTTAGTCTGATATTGTTACCCAATTGATGAATCGTCCTGCCGAGTGAAAGTGACTTGTTGCCACAACAAGGAAGAAGTCTGGGATGTTTCTCATATTGTCCTGTAGAAATTGACTGATGTTTCATAGGTTCTTATTGCCTCCATTATCAGGGTTGTGAGTAAGCTGTACTTTTGCCTTCTCTAGCCTGCTTCTGTATTTTTACCTACTTTTTCCTATGCAGCTTTCTTATCGCCCTCTGAAATATCAGTCGGTTTCTACTAGGCTAACCAGTGTAACATCCCAGAAGACCATCTGCGTACTTGCTGCTGCGAGAACCTGAAATCCAACAACACGGTAGGAGTTTCAGATTTGAAAGTCCCTTTATGTATGTGCATACGAATAATATATATCTCATTTGTTCTGCTCTAGACTTTGCAGTGCTCTTATTGGTTGTGGTTTTGTTGTTGTGCCTCACAAATTACCATTTTGGCACATTTTTTAACATTGTAATATCACCTGTTGTATTGTCTTTGTAGCTTTTTTGAGGGATGGAGGTGGTTGAAGAGGAGAGAATCCATTTCTAGAAGTGAGCTGTTCAAAATATATAAATGTGAATTTTTTCAAGGGTAAGGACCTTAAAGAATTAGTTACTTGTTGAAATATTACCGTTTTATGAGATGGATGAGAAGTTTGTTTTATAACCTAAGACTAATGTATAAAATTGGAAGATAAGGATGGAAATATAATTATAAATATAATAAATTGGATGAACACAAAATTTGGTTCCCAGGAAAGGTGAGTTTTCATTCAGCTTTTATATTTCAGCAGTAACTGCCATTCTAAATCTGAATGCATCATACACTGAAAGATTCCATAGTTTCAATAAAAATATTCTATTTATCAATGAACCTTAAATTTTGATTGCGTCCTGCACACAGAGGTGGAACATAAAACTTGGATGAATGTCATGGATACAGTTGATTACAGTATGTAACTGAATGTGCAATATAAGAATTTTTTGTCAACCCGATTAATACAAGCTTGGCAACCTCCATTCTTCAGTATCATTTGGTATAGTTAAAGTGTGTTTATATTGTGGGATAAATTTGGAGGATTCCAGTTACAGTCATGCTTCATTTTAGTCTCCAGAGCTGGGGCAGATCAGTTATTAAAGTGATTAGTTTCAAGTTGGATGGCTGAGGTTTGATCCCAAGTAGAGCCAAGGACTTTAATTTTTAACTCTAAAGGTTTATGAAAGTGGTGCACTTCGGTTACTTTTTATGTGGACTTTATCCATTGTTCAGTATTCTAAAAATGGTTACTGTTTTCTGGGAGCTGGCTGTGCTCCCATCTTCGGGTGAAAATGCCTATTTTGTTGGGTCTGATGGAATGGGGCTAATCCAGGTACAGCGAAATGGAATTAGCCTCTTCAGTCGGGCACAACAGGTCAGACATTTTAACCTGAACATGGGCACAGAACCAGATTGCGAAACATTGTGGCTTAATTTTTGAATATTGATTGATAAATGAAGTCCAGAGAAATATCAGTATTGAACTTCTTTTTTGCAGTCAGCCCTGAAGCCCATCCAGTCTT